TAGCTATGTTTATTTATTATGCTCTAAAGCTGAGGTCATCATTATTGCAGTGTTAACATGTTGATTAATTTTAATCTTTATGTCAATTGATTATAGCAACAATCTAGATTATCTATATTTTATACTATTTTTATGTCAATTGATTATAGCAACAATCTAGATTATCTAGATTTAATACTTGAAGGTAATCTCCCTTATTTAAGGGCATATTTGAATTAATACAACCTTGTTCCTGTTTTTTCTTGTTTTTCGTTTCTTCAAGATGCAGGAACAGGCAAATTAAATAGTCACTGTTTATATTTTCGTTTTTATAAAACTACTTATATACTTGTTTATATATGTAAATATGTTGATTACTGTAGATTTTCATCGTATTTGTGATTTTGTGTTATAATATGTAAATATGTTTTGTGTTTATTGTGATTTACGAGTCTTGCTTGTTATGTTAATTACTGTAAATTTTCACTTTTTTTGTGATTATGTATTATAATATGTAATTATGTTTTATGTTTATTGTGATGTATGGGCTGGTGGCCTGAATCATCTTAATAAAGAATTGAAATTAACTCAAAAATAGGAAGGTGACTGTTGTTTTTTTTTATCTATCTATTTCAATATTGATTCTCTTTAATAGCTTTAAGTTTTAAAAAAAATCCCTGCGCTAGTTTAAATTGTCCCTTCTTTTCCTTTAATTTAAGTCAAATACATACATAATTATGAAAATTTAGCGTGACTAGTCGCTGTATTTTCAAATATTCTAATTCTGAAGGCATTCTTTTGTAAGGTCAATATTTATTTATTGTCGGAAATATATATATCAAAGTTTAACTATTTATAGTATATAAATAACACATGGGTTTGTGGGTAACAGTAAAAATATCATCCCGAGGAAAATACTGTCATAAGCCGAGAGAAAAGTTTTTTTTACGACGGATGATATTTTTACTGTTACTCACAAACCCATGTGTTAGTTATTTTAATACCCCCAACAAATACTGTGATGATCTGAAATTGTCAACTAAATCTGTAACACAAATAAACCAAGAGTAACAATAACTAAACTGTCCTTAACTTTTAAGTAGGCCTACTTGAGATGGTTTTTTTTCTTTTATTCTTTTAACAAGTGATGATATCTACCAGTCATAAACATACAATAAGCTGTGTTTTATTTAGAAAACAAAACACTAACCCATTTAATTATAGAGTTATGATCTGTGAAATCTGATCCTTCTGTCTTCGCATGGTTTTTGACAAAGTGCTTTTACAAAATAACGATGATATCCTATGTCTGTCCGCCATATCTGTAACGTTTTACTGATTAAAATTGTTAAATAATCCTTTGTTGCATGCTTTAAACGCCTGCATGTTCCAGTTTGACACATAATTATTCACATTGCATTTACCTCCGTTGAAAACGGATGTTTACTTTTTGACTATTCAACAAAAAGATATTTTATACGCGAAGGATGCAAAGGACTAAATTTTATAGGTGTCATAGTTACTCTGTGGTGCCCTTTCGTGGTGAACTTTGAAAATAAGAATGTATAAGAGAAAAAAATGGCCGCCATTTTATTTAGAAAATAAACCACGTGACCAGATTTTATGCTGTTAAAAAGTACTGTTACCTATGTAACAGTACAAATTCTTAGTCACGTGGTACACTTGCATTAACAGTAAGAATAACTCCCAGATGCCTACGGGAAATTAACATTACGAAAAAAGTGAGGGGTATTTATTTTTCACTAGAAAATTAAAAGAAGAATAATAATTGTAATAGTGACTAATTAATTTTCTTAAGTTGTAAAGAGATACGGTCAAAACAAATAGATTTATGTTTAATTTATGTTACAAGTGTTTAATTTAGATCGAATTGTGACTACAACTACCGACCCTCCACCAATGATAGAATCAACTTCCGGTACTACATCTATGAGGCCTGGGTTAGCAATCGTTAGTAGCAGCAGTGGAATGAAATCGCCTGTCAGCGGTAAATATATGAACATTTTTTTACGTCAGTATCTGGAATATTAATATAACACTGGGATAGTGCGTCTATTAAGGACGGCTTAGGATTATTCCTGGAATAATAAATCCACAAACTTAAAAGACTGTTGATCACAATTTATTAATAAACTTCTTTGTCAAAGTTACAGTGAGCGAATGTATAATCAGTAAATATATAATACAATGATACAAATTTCAATTTATAGACAATCATGAAATACAACATCATTGCAAATATGGATGATAACTGAAAACTAACATCTTAGATAAAAATAATGGAAATTGCATTTTACTGATGTTAAACAAGAATTGACTTTAATAATTATGGGGAATATTAGATAAGAATTATTTATGTAGAGAACTCGCTTATGCTGTGAAAGGTAGATGAACCTATTCATACTTATGAACATACAATCATGTTTTACTCACATTGTTTATGAATTATCAAACACTTATATACAGTAACATAATGCAAGATGTAAACCATTATCTATTTATACATATAACTCATTTTAATCAATTATAACATATATCTCATTTATATTTTCAACTCCTAGAGATATATAATTATATCAAATTTTTGTCATAAAAAGATTAACAATAATTAATTAGTTTTATTAGAATGATAGCAGAAATCTTTACAACATACTTAGACTAAAAACATGTTTTGTACTTGACATAGAAAAATACATTGAATAACAATAGAAAAAAATAAACAATGAGAAACTCAACATACCTGGAATAATAAATCCACAAACTTAAAAGACTGTTGATCACAATTTATTAATAAACTTCTTTGTCAAAGTTACAGTGAGCGAATGTAACTTTGACTGCAAGTACAGTCCTTTTTATGGAAGGCTACCAGGAGAGTTACTCAATCTGCCAAACAGTCCAAACAATACCGAGAAGGAGTTTTAACAAAAAATGTGTTATTAATAATCTGCTAAGCAAAGCCAAAGGGCTTAATTTGATTTCTGAGCGACAAAATCTTTGAAGTTAGAGGAAATGTCAAAGGTGCTAAAAGCTGAAGTCTGACTAGCTATCAGTAGCAAACAAACAATTTGGCTTCAATGTGTGAAAAATATTTTAGCATGTTTTCTTCAACAAAGATGGTTAAGGATGTTTGTTTTGCTAAGCGAAATACTTTGATTAAAATAAATGCAAAATATGTGTAAAGTGTAATCTAATTTAGAGTTGAAATGAAAAACGCAAGACAAAGAAATATTACATTAAAACTTATACAAAAATACTAGAACATATGAAAAAGAAATATGACATAAAATTATATAATAATGCATAAAATGTTATCATTATTTTCTGCATTATAAAAATATACTTAGCATTCTATTAGATATTTTCAGATAGTTTTCTTACATTTGTTTTGTTCCATGTACGCATGTTTTAACACCTTTCATATTGAGCATATTTACCAAATTAGGTAGGTTTATACATTAAATTCAATACATAAATCAATTATATTTGTTTCAAACTAAAACTTAAGATAGATGCTTTTTATGAACGTTTACATGTGTCAATAATAAAAGTCATGCAGTTCGTGTATAGTTCTATATAATCCAATTGCCAACAACCGTTTTAGTAAGATTTTATCAAAAGACTTTGTTAAGTTTCATATAATCATCTTTTATAGGTACATGCTATTTGTGTTGTAACGATTCTATTTTATATACAGGATATTCTGCGCTATGTGTCGACGATTAAACGTACTGTGACGCCTCCGAATTAAGAACTGCCTGTCGAGACTTCCTGGTTGGGCAAAGATGTTTTGTAAGAAATCGTGCGGTCTATGTAGCTAACTGAATAAAAACGAAAATAAAAACGACAAAAAGTATTTATGTATTTACGTTTCATACTTGAAACTGTACTCTGTCTTTTGCCAAGCTAGGACAATGATTCGATCATGCTTGGTAGAGATAGTATGTCGAGTTGTCTTCATGTTCCTACCAAACAGATTTTTAAAATTTTTCCTTAATTTATCTTTGAGAAAGCAAATTGTCTCATAGCGATGCAAACTTAAACTTTTTACCTTAGATCAATGAACAAAATACTTTGCACTACATGTTTTAGCTCGATAGTTTTTAGTTAAAAAGATGATATTCAAAGATCTATTTATTATAAAATATGCAAATTTTGGACATGCCCAGATTAAAGACGGAATTATGATAAATTAATTGTTAATGTGTTGTATAACTTGAAATCAGATTTAAAACGGAAACATACGGACTGAAGTAATATATGCACTTATTGAGCACATGACTGATTTTCTTATGTTTACATGATCTGAACTTTAGTCAGATTGTGATCACACCGCTTCAACGGAAGAATTGAGACTTATAAGGGAGACAAATCATGTGTTATAATTTTTATCGAAACTGCTGTGCTATTGAACCTCGATGATGAAAAATCGAAACCACAATGTCGAAAGTACGATGGTGAAAAGTCTAAATAACGAAATTACGAAATGTCGAAAGTACGATGGTGAAAATACGAAATTATATCAATTTTCATCATCGTGGTTCCGTTATTTTGACTTTTCACCACCGTACTTCCCACGTAAGCATTCCATCATCTTATCTCCGACTTCTCACCATCGTCGTTTCGTATTTTCCACTTTTGCTTGCCTAAATAAAAAGATCTTACTTGTAACCAAGACATTAAATTTATGATGGTGAAAGTTTCTTCGGTATGATCTCAAAAAATTATGCTTTGTAATGTTTGGCATTTTGTCCCCTTTATTCTAGATTTTTTTCCCTTGCACTCCTCCTTTTATATATAAAAATATTACACCACCTGCCGGTATAGGTCGGAAGATATAGCTCGAGGGTTAAAGCATAAACGAGGCTCTGTCGAGCTTTCGCTAAACAGTTATCCGAATATATAATTTGAATTATAGTGTTCAGCAAAGTCATGAAAATCACACACTGATTAAAATGTACTTGGTGTCATGCATGCACTCTTTAACATTATTTGATAAAATAGACAAACTTATATCTTGTCTTATCTAATTAATCGGTGCATGGGTAACACAAATGAAACAAAAGCCGTATTTATAACTATTTTATCTAGAGTCGACAATGAAAATCACTTCAGGTATTGCATTTTATTTTTTTCTTACTGTCTAAAACATTATTGTAATTTCTTTTACAATTATCATTATTATCATTACTGTTCTTGTTGAAATTGTTTTCATAATATTGTGCAAACTATCTTACAGCAGTTTTAAATAATATTGTTGTCTTTGCAGAAATCTGACCCTGATTTCTATTGTCATACCCAATTGATGATTTTTTTTAAATACACTAGTAATCTAAATATGACTTTATGCTCATTTTTTCCTATAAAAGATTGACTGTTAAATTGGCGATGACCAACAAATTTGACAAATATCTTTAAAATATTGGCAACTTCAGTCGGGGATTTCCTTTTATATATTTTTCATTTTCCTATTTTATTCAAGAGGGCCAGTTACACAGACGGTCGGTCCCCAATCGGTCATTTAATTTTAAATTTACTCACTGTTATGATCGGTTGCCATGCGTGATTTTATGTCTGGTTTTCTGTGTAAACGGCCATCGGTGACAGAAAGCAAACTCAAACGGGGTTGGATCGGTGATAAAAACGCTGAAATTTATCGTTTGTAAATCGGAGCTAAATCGGGCGTAACGCTGATAAATCGGTGTTTGATAGCTAGTCATCAGTGGTTAAACACCCCAGTTACACAGAGCCATCGGTGATTGATCGATAGTTTTTTTAGCCAAATTATGGAGTGAACCGATGACAACGTATTTAACACCGATATCGTCTATTGGTAACCTGTTTTCCACCTATGCTATTGGGGAAAGGTAAATTTTACAGGTGAAAAATAACCGATTGGGATTTTTAAACATGTTTAAAATTCTCGATCGGTGAAAATATTTTACAAATAACCGACAGCAACCTATATCACGAGATATGCAAGCTCTTAATCACCGATATCGCCGATCAGACAAAGATAACCAAATATGAATCATCGGCCATATCTGACGGAAAGCGTTAAACCACTGATGACTAGCTATCAAACACCGATTAATCAGCGCTACGCCTGATAGTATTTCAGCATTTTTATTACCGATCCAACCCCGTTTGAGTTTGATTTCTGTCACCGATGGCTGTTTACACAGAATACCAGAAATAAAATCACGCATGACAACCGATCATAACAGCGAGTAAATTTAATATTAAATGACAGATTGGGGACCGAACGTCTGTGTAACTGGTCCCTTACTGGGGTGTTAATATATATACATGTATATTAGCAAGATAGATTATTGAAAAAGTTGGGATTTACGTTGAAGTACCTCTAGAAATAAGCATGTTGTTAAATCTTTCAGTGCTTGTTCTCTTCTTTACGATACTGGTGGGAAATATATGTAAGTTTATTTTATGACATTTATGTGGTATTTTTTATAACCAAATCTTAAACATAAAACTATTTTTTATAAGTACTATAAAATTGGCCTTAGTTGGTAAATAGTTAACAGTATAGAACCTGGCCATAGATACAGACGTTTTCCATTACTAACAAACAGAAATATATGTAAACGTATGTAACATAACTTAACGTTATATCTGATTAACATTTCATGGCATGTTAAAATATTCATCAAATTATTTATAAAATGAATTGAAATGTGTAATATTTCAGATTGTTTAGAATGTTACAGTTGTAACAATGTCACTGACGTCAAACATTGTACATCATCAACTACTTGTGTCGACGCTCAGGTTTGATTGTTTTATTAGCTGATTAGTGATGTTACAAAAAAAAACTTAAGCCAAATAAGTTGAATATGGGCTAAGTTGATCAAAGTACTTAGTTCAACACACTAAGTTGATAAACGTACTAAGTTGAACATACTAAGTTGATTAACGGACTAAGTTGAACATACTAAGTTGATTGACGGACTAAGTTGAACATACTAAGTTGATTGACGGCCTAAGTTGAACACACTAACGTAGATATGTTTCATGTATTTTCAGTCTTGTTATGTGGAGAAATCTAATGTAGGTCATGGTATCACATTTGAGATGGGATGTCTTGACAATACGGTAAATATATCACCATTTTGCTAACCTAAAATATTGTTACAAAGGCGACGTTTATACTGGTCTTAAAAAAAATTCCAATATGCATTCCGTACCTTTTATACAAAATACTTTGATATAAAGGAAGCCGTGTTAAAGATCCCTACTGCGTGACTATTGCAACTAATGCAGATGATCAGTCCGCCATTATAAAACAAGTTGGCCTTGCCTTTTGACGAATAGGTTTGAGTTTGAAAGTTCTCTCATCAATATATGTTGAAATACATTGTACATTGTTCTCCTTTGCATTGCATGTTCGTCAACTATCTTCAAATATACTGTTAACATGCTAGAATCATCTCAGCATTAGTATTGCGAGACGTTGAAATATTGACAGAGAACAAGATAATGTTAAAATGAGCAATCAATTTTTCTAGTTTTGTTCTGCATGTTGAAGTGTTTCCTTTCTCTCGTGATGTACAGAAATGTGGTAACCGGTATCCCCTTGGAAGTTTAGTTGGTAAAAGACAAGTTTCACATTGTCATGAATGTTGCTCCACAGACCATTGTAATAGTAACCTATGTGGATATTCTCGAGGTAAGAATTAATATTTCTTAATTGATAATGTTTCGTTAGTTTTGTTGGAAATTACGGTGTCCTTTTGGGGTGTTGGGTAATTTCAATCTTTGTTCAGAATGAAACTATATATAATATGATTTATTCAAATTCACTATAATATTTAGTTTACTTGAAATAAAGTATGCACTATCAAGATAAAATTATGAAGGAAGCTACAAATCATTTGAAAATTATTCTGATACTATAGTCTGTATCTTTGACCCGGTTTTACCTTCAGAGATAAGTTGTGATGACGATCCTACCGTTGACTGTGCCAGACTCGAGTCTCTTTTCTCCGTGTGCCAGGATTCAACAAAGGCTCATGAACTGTGCCCAAGGTTTTGTGGGCTATGTAGAAATGGTATGTCTTCAATTGTTGGCCGTTTTTTATATGGATGATAAAACCATTAAAACCATATACGGCAACCTGTAATCCGATAAGTGCCATATAAGCGTGATTTCCAAGGTCTTGATCACCATTTGTCCCATACGATACCAATTAGCATACTGACTTGTTTGAAATAGAGGAGACATTTAGACACGATAAATACAGTTTCTACTATCACATTAAATATGCCAGGTTTCATTTCTTTAGAAAATTACAACTTTCTTTAAAAAATCTGAGGTTTTACATGTATGTTGTTTACTAAAAAATGCATAATTTCAAGATTGTTTAGACTTCACTAATTCTTATTCTTATTCTGAAATTCGTGGCCACGAATACATCAATCTAAAAATACATCTAAAGTAGCAACTTCGTTGTTCATATGATGCTCACTATATATTAAAGTCATATTAAGCAGTGTAAACGTCGAACTGTTCAATTAATATTCCTTTTCTTGTAGATTAATGTTAGTTCCGACCGAACTTAGAGAGTACTCTTTCAATGAGTGTCGGCAGGCAGACGTCGTGTTTCATTTGTTGTTCAATCTTAAATTTTTTCAACATAAAGTCCGGAAAAAACGTTTTGGTGAACTCTTATTATACACCATGTACGAGGGGTGTTCAAATATAAATGCAACTGGGTTAATTTTCAGAAGTGCTTAACAAACAGTGCCAAAATATTTATCTCAATCGTTCAAAAATACTCACCACCAAGTGATATACAATGTTTTGGCGTTGAAATCCAATTTCATTTCTTAATGAGTTTTTTTTTGTAATCTTTTCGAGGTATACTGTTCAGACACTGGAAAATAGCCGAACCGAGAGATTTTACCGCGTTTGATATTTTCTTCCAGCAAGGTATTTTTTGAGCCTCAGAAAAAGGAAATAATCACAAAGGGCAAAATCTGACGACTTAGGAGCGTGAGGAAGCTCGACAACCTCTACCTGTTTCAGATATTCTCGTACAATGGCCGCTTTGTATAACGAAGCATTGCCATGCAATAAACTGAAACTACGAAATCCAGTTGCTCGTCGACGGTTTTGAAATATTTCTTTAATTTATAATGGACCTTTCCTTTGTAAAACTTGGCATTTACAGATTTACCATTTGGCACGACAATTTGAATAGCAGGACCTTGATTGGTAAAGAAAATTACAAACATGACCTTTTTGCTATGCAAGGTCTTTGACTTTCTTTGGTTGCCCATATTTTATTATGTATTGGGCTCATAGAAGTGCACACTCGTCTCATCGGCAGTGATGATATGTGCAAACGATCGATTATTGTATTTAGGGAACTGTTTTAACAATTGTTGAGATTCTTACCCGAGCAAGTGTCTGATTTTTTGTATGGAGATGGAATATCCATCTGGCACTTATCCTTCTCATTTTTAAATCTCGTCTGTGAATTGTATGAGCGGCTCCTACAGAGATATCAACGTATTTCGCTAAATAGTTAGTTGTAAATCTTACAGCAGTAGCAATCAAATCCTTTACTTTTTCTTCTTTTTTTTTTTTGGCGAAGTTGCAGTTTTCCGATGACGTGCATGAGGTGCATCTTTTACTGAATCCACACCACTTTGAAATGTCTTATACCACCATGTGACAGATAAAAAAGAAAGTTCATTGTTCACATCAACACGACATATTTCATTAAATATATCTTTCGCATGTATACCAAGAATACAGCTGTTCTTGATATAGGACCGTATTTGGTCAGTGAAAGGAGACTTTTTCCCAACCATGTTAGCTTTAGTATACTCGAGTAGATAGCGTTAATCGAGCTATTGTGAAAGCTAGACTGAACAGATTTACACATGTATTTTATCAATTGAGAACTTATACCACCATCCATACGATGCGTAAAAAATATTTATTGGCTTAGAAGCTTTTATATTTGAACACCCCACGTACATTAAATAATTGTCAGTTTGTGTGTAATCAGTCGAATAAACCATCTGTATATCGTAGACCCTTACTACCATACAATAATAAAATAACTGTAAGTGATTTTACATATCTTTTAGGTTCTCTACCAACAATGAATCCAGGTCAACTAACAACTGAAGGTATAAATACTATATTTACATGATACACAATGTCACTTTCATTTCATTGTGAGTCACCCAAAATAAACAAATGTTCTTTTAGTACCGTATAATTTGATTGATAACTCCTACTAGATGGATAAAACTACAGTAAATAACAAGAATTTGTTACATAAAAATGAATCAGAGACAAATGTTTTATATAAAGAATCTACAGATTAAGTCTCAACCTGTTGACGATTCTACCTAGCTGCACTCTTGCCAGACATAATTACTGTCATTCTGTCTACCAGTAGATGTTGACAGTCTGTATATTAGTGCTGGCGTGACTTAAAAGAAAGACAAAAAACTGGTTGTGTACTTATCATTACAGAAGAATGCTCATCATTAATTATGATCTATAATCACATATTCTGCTAATTTTAAACATAACATTTACATCCTTTAATAAAGGTAGCTGTCAGGATATGAAAAGTAATTGTGACATATATGATGACGCCGCTTGTACAGGAATTTTTGAAAGTTGGGCACGTGCTCATTGTGCAAAAAGATGTAACCTTTGTGGTAATCTTTTTTAATTCATTTTGATTCCTTTCTTATCATTTATTTATTTATTGATTGTTTCTATGCATGAGTACATGTACTGTGAATAAAGTTTAATTGCAAAATTTGTACGGGTGAAGCAAGGATTACATATGGTATTAGAAAGCAATGTTCTCGTGCTGATAAATGCGGAGGCTTTTGCCTTTAAATATATACTACTCAACTTTTGCTAAGCACCATAAGTTAATTTTCTATATTATCACAAGTATTAAACAGTTGTCTTTCCAATTTTTGAAAATTCTGATACAGAAATGTTTCGAAAAAGTCCCCTGACATGAATCCGTGTTGACTTCTCGTCTAGGTATAGAATGGAAAGAAAGCACCCCAATATTTTCATGTTTTGATGGGTATATAATCACATGGCGACATTACCTGCTTATTGTCATTCAGTGGCTTACATTTCTTACATCTGTCACTTCGATATGACGAATGCTAAAATTAGGCTGTATTTAAGAAAAGCAGGGTTATGGAGGACTGTCTTGGTGCGGCGATTGGTGTACACCACACCGTCATCACCAGAGCCTATGAGAGATGCCGGCTACATAGTCCCCCGCCAAGAGGCATGCTGGAGGTCGGCTAAATGTCAAAACACCAGCTCAGGACGGTTTTTGGTCGTTCAGGCACGTAGGTTTTCGACAGCAACTTCTTTTCGAAATGACAATGCTAATGCTGCGGGTCCAATCCGTGTATCCGTTCAGGCGGTACGTAGAAGGCTGCATGAAGGTAATATGCGGCCGACGAGACCTTGCATACGTCTCCCTTTGACGCGTCGACATCGCCAGACCCGTTTGGAATGGACCACGGAGCATACACTGTGGACGATGCAACACTGGATACACTTTCTGTTCACCGAGGAGTCCAGGTTCTGCCTCGATGACACACCGCTACGGAGGTGTGTCAGTTATGGTGTGGGGATGCATCAGCTGGGATGGACGAACCGACCTGGTTCTGCTAAATAAAGGCACATTGACAGGTCAGCGATACATAGACGACATCTTAGACAACACGGTTAGGTTGTATGCTGGAGCAGTCGGCGATCAGTTCATTCTAATGGACGATAATGTTAGCCCTCATAGGGCGAGGGTGGTCCTGGACTGGCCAGCTCGCTCATCTGACTTAAATCAAATAGAACACATGTGGAATGAGCTGCAGACTAGAACTTCAGCTCGTCAGCTGCAACCCAGAACCATCCTGGAGCTTGGAGCCATGTTGGTCAAAGAATGGGCAGTCATACCTGTTAGAACAATCAAAAACCTAATAGGGTGTATATGAAGGTGCTGCCAAGCTGTCATTGATAGTCACGTGTCACACACACGGTATTTAGTCTAAAAGTGTAACAATTTGATAAATTTGGAAAACACGCTGCATGTTCTGAAATCATCAAAGGGGGGTCATCTTCTTCTCTAGCACCAAGTTAGTGTAAAACTCATTTGTAGGGGTTAATATCGTTTCAGCTGAATTGATAAAACAGTAAATCAACATTTAAAACCTTTCGCACGGCGTTAATAAAATTATCCTTAAAATTTCACACTCAAACATATGGTGCTTAGCAAAAGTTGAGTATTATATAGGCTCCTAACTGGAAATTCTTTGAATTCTTTTACAAAGGCAAAGAAGGAAAATTAAACTAGCACAGATATTTTGTTTAACTTTTCTCTATTTGCTTAAACTTTGCAATATGACTGGACAATTAATGTGAAATAAAATAAAGTATCGGTAAGCTTGTTTAGGAATTATCTGCTCCTAAAGTTACATAAAAAGAAATTAAACTTTTAATTCATTTTTAGAGGCAGATACAGTAAAGACTGTCTTAGTGACCCCCTGTCTATAGCGACATTCTGTCTTTAGTGACCATAGTTAGGTGCGCCGAACAGTATTTACTGTATAAAAGGTCTGTATGTAGCGACTCCCTGTCAAGTCTGTACAACCACCATAAAATAGTCTCCCGTTACGGTATATAAGCCGTGCCAAGCGACTTTTGCAAGGGGAGTTCCTCGTATGGCGTTAACAAAAAATTTAAAGTTTTTTAGAAATTAAAATCATAGCATATATAATGCATAATGGGACTTTAAGGAAATAATACATGCAATGTTTATACTGTCTTGTTTTGATAAATGATATGTGGTATGTTTAATATATGGTTAATTTAAATAAAAAATATAATTAAATATGGTACTATCCTGCTTTTCAACAAAATATTGGTAAAATATGTTCATATATCCGAATTATGTAGAGACTGTTCACAGTGACTCCCTGTCTATAATGACATTTTTCCTTTGCTTCCATCGAAGGTCACTGTAAACAGTTTTTACTGTAACTCAAAATAAGGAAAGTGACTTAAGACCGTTGTTTTTTTATCAATTTATTAACTTAATTCTTTGCCTTTAATTTAAGTTAGATACACATATGATTATATATCAAAATTCCTAACAAACTTTTATCGTTAATATACCCCCCACACTCCCCCCCCCCCTACTATAAATAAATAATAATAATTTAGCGCAATAATGTTGTTGACTCGTGGCTGTTTTTTCCGAATGTTTTAATACTGGAGTCATTACTTACTTTCTCCATGGAATTTCTCTGTCAAGTCTAATACGAAGTGTCTTAAGCATTTTCCACCATATACAACTGTTTGCAAGTCAAGTCATGTAAAGTCAATAGGTCAATACAATGTATTTATTTATTGTCGGAAATATATATTACAGTTTGTAGTGTTGTTAATATTTAGAGATTAGCTCCGCCTACTTGATTAAATATGCACACTCTGAGAACTCTCTCTCTGAGCCCTCTTTGATAGACAGTTTAGATTACACATGCAATGTAGCAACATCTCTGTGAATACTCTTGTAAATAAATCTTAGAATAGAATGTTTATATTGAGTTTTCAATACAGTACAATGGCGACGAGGATTTAAAAAGAAAAATTGGATAACATGATATTTGTTTGATTAAATTAAATAAGTGAACACCGGAAATTTACACATTTTGGAATTTAAAGTTTAAAACACTTTTCCTGGACTTTGTTACAACTTAGCTCTATCAATAATACTGATACAGTGACAGTATGGCACAAGGATTGCCAGTTTTTTCCAGCATTTGGTGTAAGTGAACCTGGTGTTGACACAAGATGGAGCAAATGGACAGGTCGATTCGAAAACATAATGATTGGCATGGACATTAAAGATAAAAAACGTCAGAGAGCCTTATTTCTACACTATGCAGGGGAAGAGGTAAATGACATCTTCGACGTACTGCAGAATACAGGGGATGACTACGAATCAGCAAAGATAAAGCTAACAGAGTACTTTGCCCCAAGAAAAACACAGAATTTGAGATATATAAATTTAGACAGGCAAAACAGGAATCTAATGAAAACATTGATAGTTTTCACACACGTTTAAGACACTTAAGTATAAACTGTGAATTTTCGGAAACAGACAAAGAAATTAAGTCACAAATCATTCAAGGCTGCACCTCAACTCGACTGCGTCGCAAAGCACTACGCGATGACCTGACATTAGACAGTCTCATCAAAGAAGCAAGGACACTAGAACTATCAGATCAACAAGCTTCTGAAATTGAAGGTCAAGCAAAATATGACGTCGTTAATGCTATGAAATCACGACAAAGACAAAATCAAAAGGCGCAAAAAGAAAGACGCAGACACATCATTAAGGAATCAATATGCAGATACTGTGGCTATGAATATCCACACAAATCAGGAAAATGCCCAGCCAGTGGAAAAACATGTACATATTGCTCAAAGAAAAATCATTTTGAAGCAGTGTGCTTGTCAAAGAAACGGACAATAACTTCACATGCCAGCTTAAATGACAGCTCACAAAGTGAAAGTGATAAGGACAAAGAAAGTGAAGATGAAAACGAAATATATGGACTATCTGTCAATTCTATGCAATTACAAAGACCAAGGCTGAAAGTGCATATCAACGGCTGTAAAATTAAAGCATTAATTGATACAGGATCATCAATAAATGTAATTGACGAAAACACGTACTCAAAGCTTCAAAATAAAGTTCATCTTAAGAGAGCACACACCAAAGTCTATGCATATGGTGCTAGTAAAGTTACCTTATTAGGCAAGTTCCAAGCACAAATTGAATCTAAAAAAAAAATAACAACAGCTCCAGTATATGTGACAAAGGGCGCCAGCGGTAATCTTCTCTCTTATCAGACATCTGTTGACCTCAATATCATTCCAGAAATAAACACAGTCACAGACAGCAAGGTCGATGAACTCTGCAAAAAGTACCAAAACCGTGTTCACAGGCCATGGGGAAAATGAAAGCAACAAAAGTCAAACTATATGTTGATAAAAATGTTCAACCTGTTACGCAACCACATAGACGAATACCTTTCCACTTAAGAAAACAAGTTGAAAATGAGCTCCAGAGGCTTGAGGACCTAGATATCATTGAAAAAGTTGAGGGTCCCACAGACTGGGTATCACCCATTGTAGTAGCTCCAAAGCCAAAAACCAACCAAATAAGGATATGTGTCGACATGAGGCTACCGAATCAAGCCATAAAGCGCACAAGACATATTATTCCAACAATTGATGACATGATTGTGCACTTAAGTGGTGCCAAAGTTTTCTCTAAACTCGATTTAAATCATGGATATCACCAATTAGAACTGTCAGAGGAATCACGCAGCATTACAACATTTACAACACATGTTGGATTAAGACGATATAAACGCCTCAGTTTCGGAATCAATAGTGCAGCAGAAATATTCCAAAATGCTTTAAGTACGGCTCTAGAAGGTCTGAACGGCGTGAGAAACATTTCCGATGATGTCATTATATGGGCTGGCGACCAAGCAGAACATGACAGAAGACTTGAGGCAGTGTTAAAGCGACTTGAGCAGAAAAACTTAACTTTGAATAAAAGCAAATGTGAGTTTAATAAGCAAAAACTTGAATTCTTTGGGTACATTTTCAGTAAAGATGGAATGTCAGCAGACCCTAAGAAAATTGACACAATTAAAAAGACACAGCCTCCAAAAACAGTTTCAGAAGTCAGAAGTTTCCTAGCAATGACAAATTACGTGTCACGCTTTATTCCAAATTACAGCACTATAGCAGAGCCAATACGTCGTCTGATAAAGAAAAACGCAAAATGGGCATGGCAAAATGAACAAGACGAAGCATTCAACAAACTGAAATCTATTTTGAGTAGTGATACAGTCATGACATACTTTGATCCTAATAAGGAAACACAAATAATCACAGATGCATCTCCAGTCGGAGTAGCTTCAATTATGCTCCAAGAAGGTAAAGTTGTGTGTTATGCAAGCAGATCACTGACAGATGTTGAACGAAGCTCTTACAGTCAACAAGAGAAAGAAAACCTAGCATTAGTTTGGTCATTAGAACATTGGCACATATACTTATTTGGACATAAATTCACAGTCATAACTGATGCAAAATTTCTTGAGAATATCTACAATAATCCTAAATCAAAACTTGGATCTGCAAGACTGGAACGTTGGAGAATGCGTCTGTTATCATATGACTTCAGGATCGTGCACAAACCTGGAGAGTCAAACATGTCAGATTATCTAAGCAGACATCCAGACACAGGACAAGGCAGCAAATCAAGCATAGCTGAAGAATATGTAAGTTTTCTTGTATATCATGATGTACCTGTTGCAATGAACATGAATGAAATTATTCAGGCAACTTCTACGGACAATGACCTCCAAATGGCCATTAAATCCATAAAGACGGGTTGTTGGAGCAACACCAATAAAAATAAAGTATTTGATACGTTCTCTCGCTGTAAGAATGAATTATCGGTAGTCAATCTCCAGGGAGGTGAAATCTTACTGCATGAATCAAGAATTGTTATTCCTAGGCAGTTGCAAGATAAAGCGATATCATTAGCTCATGAAGGTCATCAGGGAATTGTTAAAACCAAACAACTGTTAAGAGAGAAAGTGTACTTCCCAGGCATGGATCAACAAGTTGAAAATATGTGCAAAAGCTGCATTCCGTGCTTAGCAGCAACAAATTCAAAAACAGCATGAACCTTTAAACATGAGTGATATGCCAAAATACCCATTTCAAATGATTAGTTTGGATTTTTGTGGCCCATTTCCAGATGGAAAATATCTGCTTGTACTAATTGACGAATATTCACGTTTTCCTTTCGTAGAAGTCTTAAATTCCATAACAGGAAATACAGTGATCCCTGTGCTGGACAAAATATTCTCAGAAACCGGAATTCCTGAAATTCTCAAGTCAGACAACGGCAGTCCTATGAACTCTCACCTATTTAAAAGTTTTGCAAAACACATGGGCTTCAAAGCATAGGAAAATAACCCCATTATGGCCACAAGCAAATGCTGAATGTGAGCGATTCATGAAAACCATAGGCAAGTCAATACGAGCTTCTCATGTGCACCATACAAACTGGAAACAAGACATGTATGCATTTTTAAGGAATTATAGATCTACACCACATGGGACAACGGCCGAAACTCCTGCACAATTGTTCTACGGGAGGCCTATTAACATCAAAATTCCCATGGTTCAAAAACAAAAGAAATCTAAAAATGACATAAAGGCCAGAGAAAATGACAGAAAATCAAAACAAAAAATGAAAGTATACGCTGATAAACGAAGAAACGCTCGGAAAACTGAAGTTAAAATAGGCGACAGTGTGTTAGTAAAGCAAACCAAACAAAACAAACTCACAACTCCATACGACCCTAAACCGTATGAAGTAACCAAAAAAAAAGGATCAATGATAACGGCAGAGCGAGAAGACAAACACATCACTAGAAATTCATCACATTTTAAACGTGTCGGCAACTCTCAGACCCAAAGTCTAAATGGAAATTCTCCTTTAAATGTCGAGGGTGAACACAGCAATACAGAACCAATTTACAACGAAACGAGCATAGAATCACAATCCGATGAAAGCACAATGTTTGAAACCTTACCTACATCAAATGAGTATACTTCTTTGCGAAGATCTGAAAGGCACAGAAAACCACCTGACTATTTAAAGGATTATATGTGTAAATAGTGTTAAATAGTGGCATAATAATCCACTAAAAGTTAGCTAAATGAGTGAAAACCACCTGTATATATATGATATATATGACTATTTAGAAGAATAAATGTATAAACAGTGTTAAACAGTGGCATAATAATCCACTAAAAGTTAGCTTCAACTTAAAAGGAACATTCATTCAAACAAACGAGTTCGATTATTTTAACTGTCGGTGTGCACAAACATTCAAAACAGGGATTTAATATAACTGCTGATAATCATACAATTCTTTACTATGTGCTTAAATCTCCAGAGGAAAATGGAATACAAGTATAAATGAAACATTCAATTAGCATTTTGATACTTAAACTATTTGTGTATCATTTAGATTCTATCTTCAATCTTTATTCTAATTTGTTTTATTTCATGCTGATAAAACCTGTTTGTATTCTGTAAACATTGAAAATTTACTCAACACAGTTTAGACATTAAGTTAATTTATTGGACTACGGACAGTCAGTAACTTTCTAGACTTATTGCCTCTAGAACATAAACTGAGATTAAATGTGATAGCAATCAAGAGACTATCATTACTGGATATAAAATAATCATTAACTTGTAGTGGCAGCGCCAGCGTGAAATAAACACCTGTGAATCAATGGATATCTGAGACAATAACATTACTGTCAGACAAATAATTAATGTCCTTCATTAGGACTGACCAGTGAACTTTAAACCTAAGCAAGGCGGAGATGTAGTGTTGTTAGTATTTAGAGATTAGCTCCGCCTACTTGATTAAATATGCACACTCTGAGAACTCTCTCTCTGAGCCCTCTTTGATAGACAGTTTAGATTACACATGCAATGTAGCAACATCTCTGTGAATACTCTTGTAAATAAATCTAAGAATAGAATGTTTATATTGAGTTTTCAATACAGTACACAGTTTAACTATGTAAAGCTTTTGAGTAGAAAATTAAAAGAAGAACAATTAATATAATAGTGACATTTATAACGAATTAACTTCCTTAAGTTGTAAAGGCATACGGTCAAAACAAATAGATTTATGTTTAATTTATGTTACAAGTGTTAAATTTAGATCGAATTGCGACTACAACTTCCGGTCCACCACCAATGATTGGATCAACTTCCGGTACTTCATCTAGGAGGCCTGGGTTAGTAATCGTTAGTGGCAGCAGTTATAAAATTCAGGGAATAAAATCGCCTGTCAGCGGTAAATATATGAACATTTTTGACGTCAGTATCTGGAATGTACTAAACATTCTATTAAATATTTTCAGATAGATAATGTTCTTACATTTGTTTTGTTCCATATTAAAAGTGCATGTATGCATGTTTTAACAAATTTCATTTTGAGCATATTTATCAAATTCGGTAGTTTTATACATTAAATTCAATAGATCTACATAAATCAATAATATTTGTTTCAAACTAAAACTTAAGATAGATGATTTTTATAAACGTTTACATGTGTCAATAATAAAAGTCATGCAGTTCTATATCATTCAATTACCAACAATCATTTTAGTAAGATTTTATCAAAAGTAAAGTTTCATATTATCATCTTTTATAGGTACATGCTTTTTCAACAATCAGACTTTCAACTTAGGTGACCATTGGCAAGATACTTGCAGATATGATTGTCGTTGTATCGAAACAAGTTCAAATACTGCACAGTGTCAAGACGTGTAAGTAGTTGGTATATGTAATTGACAATTACGTGTAGATATGTTTGTCGCTGTACCGAAACAAGTTCAAATACTGCACAGTGCCAAGACGTATAAGTAGTTGGTATATGTAATTGACAATTTCGTGTAGATATGAGTGTTGCTGTACCGAAACAAGTTCAAATACTGCACAGTGCCAAGACGTATAAGTAGTTGGTATATGTAATTGACAATTACGTGTAGATATGAGTGTTGCTGTACCGAAACAAGTTCAAATACTGCACAGTGCCAAGACGTATAAGTAGTTGGTATATGTAATTGACAATTACGTGTAGATATGAGTGTTGCTGTACCGAAACAAGTTCAAATACTGCACATTGTCAAGACGTGTAAGTAGATGGTATATGTTATTGACAATTACGTGTAGATATGAGTGTTGCTGTACCGAAAAATTAAAAACACACACAGTCCAATGGCTTGAAAGAAGTAAGTGACAATTATTACGTGTAGATATGATTGTCACTGTATTAAAATGTGTATTAAAATATGTTAGTTGCTGTATTGAAACAAGTTTATATGCTGAACAGAAAATGACGTGGTATTTCAATTACTACAATGAGGAGTAATTAGTACGTCACGTAATTAGTAATAACCTGTATATATTGACTGTCTAGATTTTTAAAACTTTGATTTTGTTTTTTTCAGTTGCCCTCATTACTCAAGTCTGCCACCATCATGTACGATCAGACAGAAATCGGGTGACTGTTGTCCGAAACTAGACTGTGGCAATGAGACTGATATAACATATCATCCTGGTCCTGTTAACACAACAGCAATCATAAATGCCAGTAAGTACTTATAACATGACCTTTATACCGGGACCGCAGCATAACTTACGTATCATAGCCCGAGAAAACATATATCGAGATCTCACATAACGTCATATAAAGATACAAAAATATCATTTTATTTATATTACTTTTGAAGTTTACGAAGAAATAGGAAAAGTTTTATGAAAGCAGATCTACTTCAAGTTGATTCTTTTAAAATGCTGGGTAAACATTCGCTTTTCTCTAGAATATAAGTCGTCTTTAAGAAATAACTTTATACATGCACTATAAGTCCTCGACATATGTCGTACTTCCGAGTTCTCACAGAATCTGGTAAGCGTATATTTCACAAAGAACAACAATAAGTCTTATCAATTCAGCGCTTTCAAATATATACATGTAAAGATGAGACATATCGTTAAAGGTGGCTGCCAGGACAAGATTCCCGGATGTGAATATTATGAGGACGTTGTTTGTAGAGGAATTTACGAGCCCTGGGCGCGTGATCATTGTTCGCTTAGATGCGGATACTGTGGTAGGATAGGTTTATTTTAGTTTTAAAAAATGTTCTACTGAGAACAAAGTTCCTGAAACTTATGTTTACCATTTGCAAGACAGTTTCCTAGAACTACATTACCAGTACCCGTGAAGTGCATTACCAGTACCCGTGAAGTACATTACCAGTACCCGTGAAGCACATTACAAGTACCCGTGGAGTACATTACCGGTACCTGTGAAGTACATTGCCAGTACCCGTGAAGTAACATGGTCATGTAGGACTCGAACCAACGGTCACTTAACTTCTAAACATAAAACAAATCGGAAAAGCTGATGGTTATGACTCCCTAAGAGTCAGGATAAAATAAATATATTATATATTATGCTATTATAGTGACAATCATAACGCTAGTTTTAAAATAACTGATAATTACGAAGGTATTATTTACTTTTTCATAGATTTCTAATAGACTGTGTTGAAGTGATTCTATTTTATATACAGGATATTCTGCGCCATGTGTTGACAATTTGACGTACTGTAACGCCTACGAATTAAGAACTGCCTGTCGAGACTTCCCTGGTTGGGCAAGAGTCAATTGTAAGAAATCCTGCGGTCTATGTAGCTAATTGAATAAAAACGAAAATAAAAACGCCATAAAGTATTTATGTATTTATGTTTCAGTCAGGCACTAGAAACTGTACTCTGTCTTTTGTCTAGCTAAGGCAATGATTGGTTCATACTTGGTAGAGACATTATGTCATGAGCTGTCTTCATATTTCTGCCAAAACATATTTTTAAATTTGTTCCGAGAAAACAATTTGTCTCTTGAGCGAAGCAAACTTTCTACTTTAGATCAATGAGAAAATAGTTTGCACTAGATGTTTTAGCTCTACAGTTTTTAATTAAAAAGATGACATTTAAAGATCTATTAATTATGAAATATGCCAATTTTGGACATGCTTCAATGTAAGACAGATCTATAATGGTTATTTGTTGTATAACTTTAAATGATTAAAACCTGAATCATACGGATTGAAGTATTCAATATGCTCTAACTGAGTGCATGAATTCTCAGCCCAGCTGACAAAAGTTCAAATTTTCTTAAATTTACTTGATCTGAACTTTAGTCAGATTGTGATCAGATCGCTTCATCGGAAGATTGTCATAAATTGCCAAACCAATTTTTATCGAAATTGCTGTGCTATTGCAGAAAAAAGCTATGCCTATCTTGAACTTATCTCAGCGCATATTTGTAACGTCCAGTGGTATCAGGCAGCTTCAAGAAAAGAAACAACACATCTACTAGTGATACATTCTGTAAATGTTAAATGAAATAATACTATAATAGTACAGATAATTAGTGGATTGTAAAACGGACATTTGCCCCCTTTAAGACTCCCCGACCCCGACATTTGTCCCCCATTTCTGTAAATGTGTAGACTTAGCCGTATAAATATTTTTAAATGATGTTTTTCATCTTTTCTTTTTTTTTCAATATCATAGACTGAAATTTAGCATGATTGTTTTCAATTAAGACAAGATATTAACAATTATAATTGCATAGTTTTTTTATTACTTTACCCTTTTTAATAACATTTTTAAAGCATTATTTTACCATTTAAACTCACCATGATTCATGTACTCGAAAAGATTAAAAACGTTGAAAGTAGGGTGTTGAAAAGTCGAAATAACGAAAATAGATAAATACAGAATCCCTTAAGAAAGCCCAACACGACAAAATTGAAAATGTTGCAGGCTCGGTTTGATTGAGCCTGTTCATGGACGGTACTGGAAAGTGCAAGTTACCGTCCACGCCCCCTAACACCGGCTTAAGCAGAATTCAACATTTAAACATGAAATAGTAAAATTTTGAATTTAGAAACATCCGCAGATGTGTTAATACGGCGGTTAGCATGGAACTTCCGTGCCATTCCATGAAAAGCGGCGTATGGTCCCCAAGTAATGAAAAGCGTGTGCCCTAAACGAGAAAACAATGGGCGGAACTAATTAAAATGGAATTTTGAAGGGGATCAGAGGTTATGAAGCCTGCATATCACAGATAAGACGTCAAAACCACGATGGTGAAAAGTCAAAAGTACGATGGTGAAAACACGAAATTACGGTATATCTAGTTTTCACCATTGTGGTTTCGTTATTTTGACTTTTCACCACCGAACTTTCTACTTTTCATCATAGTATCATCGACTTTTCTCCATCGTGGCTTCGTAATTTCGACTCTTCACCATCGTATTCTCGTGTTTTCGTTCAAGTTATGCGTATGTGTCGCGATGGCCTAACTGGACACCGTACAGAAGAACTGTTAATAAGTTTTGTTTGTTATGTTCAATCTACTTGGTTGAACATTTAAATAAAGAAAAAGTAGTGACAGCCTCGAAAGGAAACAAACAAACTGCAAAAAAGCAACCTTCCGCCTTTTAAATTATTGAAACATGGAACCAGTGTCTACCCTCTTTGTGATGGGGGAAGGGGGCACATGTTCACTTTTTCAAAACATATGTGGGGGCAGAAAATGTCTGCCAAAGCTATTTAAGAAAAATGTCAGAGGGAATATGTCCTAGGTTCAGTGGACGACGATTCTTAAGCCTCGCCTGAAAATAGAACCATCGATAGTTTTGTTTGCGAAAGTGATAAATAAATATCGCTACATGGCTAATTTTAAATAAGGAATACATGTATTTTTTTCTTGCACGACCCTTAGCATCCAAACTACCAGTATTATATACTTTAACAGTATAAAGGTCGTGAAGGACAGAAAAATTAGATGTGATGAAGTACTTTCTACAACACTTGACATCAGCTGTTGTGATTGAAATAAATGAAAAAATGAAATCCTTTGCAATGACATGTAAGACAATTTATTTGAATTTTGTTGTTAACTTGTTTCTTTTTGTTGACGATAAAATTCTCAATAAAGATAACATGTAATAGAAGCATATGTATACTATCTTGTAATGGGTCGATAGTTTGAATATTTAAAATTGGTGCTTTTATACTTTATTTTATGTTACATGAGACATTAATTAAAAATCTACAGAAATTCTTACTTTTACAATGATTATATTGAAGTGAATTGTCTTGTTTAAATTATGTTGAGAAATTCATACACTGTCATAGCTGAAGATGATATCTCCAAGGTTACTTTTTATCTTCATGATGCCACGAGACAAACTTTTTGTCACATAGACATTAAAACAATATACAACATTCTCATATATGAATTATGCAGACGTATACTCGTCTTATATCGTTTGTCTTTTAATCAGTTCCTATAAAACACGCGTTATAAATCATGCAAACACGAATACGTGAACAGAATCAGAAGGCGTATCCTCGGTTACAACAAGGCAGTCTTTGAAGCCATCGATTGCCCATGGATGGGATATAGGTTGACGCTGATTGAGGAAATTCGCCCTTCCCTTGACCTTTTCTCAAAAAAGCTCAAAAATGCCCATTCCCGCTTTCTTTAAAAGAAGAAAAATCCCTTACCCCCAAAAAAACTTGTTACGTCGGATATTTTTTTGTTTAACCCCGTCGGGACCAAATTTAGGTCACCCCGGGATTTTTAACAAAATTTCCATGGCGGCGGCGATTTCGAACGATTACACTCCCATCAGACGTAGCAGCTAGTCGGTCGGGGAAACAACGGCGTCGTGATGACTGGAATATTGTCTCTCGTCTCCTATTACGTATCTCGTCTGGAACCCTAATATCTAGGACGTCAATACGACGACACTGGATACTTGCAGCGGCTAACATGTCTGTCATATGAGACGTGACTCCTATATACTCAGTGTCAGTTTCAAGCACTCTTAAGACATTAAGTTTCGGATCCGTTGAAACAATGACGAGTTTAGATACATCCCAGAAAGTGACTGCGACAGAATTCGTTTCACGAAGGGTAGTAACTTGGTGTGGCTGATCATCCATCAATAACTCATCAAGAAATCGTCCCTCTGGCAATTTAAATTTCTTCAGCTTTTTGTTCTCCTGGTCAGCAAGAACAACTGCAGTATTCCCTATGAGGGCTACGCCGGACAACATACATCTTTCTTCATTTGCACACTTAGCGCTGAACATGATCTGTTGTGAGATTTCTGGACTGTCTACGTCATCGTCAACGAAATCTAGAAATTGTCCGCTGTTCGTTACTATAACAAAATCTTTATCATCAGGGTCAACTTTAAAAACTTCATCGAGAGAAAGAAACTCGCCCGGAAGAGTCTGTTTAACGGTCGATACGAAAGCATCGAGAACATTTAGATCTCCTTCTGCGTATTTCATGAGAGCGCCAGAATTAATCTTTTCAGTGAGATCATGAATATTTACCTGAAGTTCAGACGAAGATTGGCAGAGATCTGATATCAAGTCTAGCACTTTATTCGGATTACAATCAGTCGATTCGATCTCAATAGCTTTTACCCTTTCAACGAGATAGTCTTGTAATCGGCGAACATTAAAAGATGACAAATCTTTATCTAATGTTTCTCTGGCTTTCGTTCTAAGACTTTCTACTCTCTTACGAAAAATACGATAAACTTCATTAAAACTTTCCTCAACCTCAGTTATTGACTTTTGAAATTCATCATGGATGCTTTTCATCGTTTTTTCATCTGAATTTTGGCATTCAAACAATCTAGATGCATCAGAAGCTTGCTGAGCAACCAAGCATTTGAGTGCATTTAAGCGCTTATTGATCACTTTTGCAGCAGACGAACAATCACATTCACCTTCGCTGTGACTGGAAGCTGCACATTCTGAACAAATGACAATATCATGCTTGGAACAATAAACATCTAGTGGTTTCTGTGGGTGACGAGCGCATGTGCAAAAGCTACTTCCGGGAGTGATACTGCTGTCAATTCTTTCACTTTCATTCTCAACAAAGTGAGCAAGTTCGGATTTTCCTTCCGGGTCAACTTGATCTTGAATACCAAGGGCGTTTAAAATGGAAATGGAAACTGTGTCGTTTGATAGTTCTTGAATGACGTTTTCGGGCGTGGATCCTGAGGGAATATAATGTGGATGGCGACACACGGGACACTCAAAGCAATCTCTATGACGTTGTATGACCTTGACATAGTCCACTAAACATGAAGCACAGTAAGAATGTCCACACTGTAACATCTTCGGCTCCGTAAAAATATTCCAACATATTGTACATGTTAAATAGTCCGATGTTAAGTTCCGAATCTTTCTATCAGCCATTTTATATTACTGATATATTCATCCGAGTTTAAGTTTTTATCTTTACACTAGTTAACAGATTACATGAAAAACGAAACTAGGTCTATCCTAGTTAATAGTTAAATGTTTATGTAGAGAGTATTAAGTGTCGCACAAGGACATTTATATCAATTACATGTATATTAATTTCATGTGAGAGGGTAAATTTTACCTACCACGTGAGGACAATGTTACGATAGGAAAACCCAGTTTTGATTTGTATCTCACGTCTAAATAGAACATTTAAACATACCATTAAATAAAAAAAACCCGATTCACTAAAGTTATAGTTAGGAAGTTAGGAATTTACTTTACTTTTAAATGACAATTAACACTGTACGTACTATGATTATTATTTAGATATGAAACAGTTTTCCTTGTCAGAGATGTTGTTTAAGCTCAGTTAATCTTGAAGCATCAACCGTCTGGATTGTGTCACGTAGAATTTCCAGGGCTTGAACCAATAAACCATAGGTTGAATGGTAGGTCTGTGTTGCTCATTGAATCATAAACACTTTGATTACTTTATAACACACGCACGCACGTACACATAATGCTGCCATGTCCTGATTATAACGGTTGTATTGAGAACAAAATATAATTTTCAAACATTTCCTTATACGCACATTGAAAGATCTTAATCAACCAGAGTGGGTGTGTGGGGGAGGTAAATTTTAAACAGTAGACAAACAGTAAGCATATTGATAGATTGTTTAAATAGAACACTTGTTAGTCTGGGAAGTAAACGTATCGACAGACGATTTAAGTAGTGATGTAAATATAAACAGGATGCAATTAGAATACAATCAGTTTAATTAAGCAGTAAATTATGAAAGTTTGTAATCCTAGTAGAGGAAATTATAACCAGAATCAGTCAGGGGAGGTAATAAGAAATAAGAATAATGGCAGTCGCGAGCAGTTAGTGGACAGATCGTATCTACAAATCTGCCTGGGTGGGAATTCTATTGTCGGACTGTTTAAAGTAGGTCGGACTTAAATTAGTTATTTGGAACTTGAAATATCATCAGGATGGGATTTTCTAAGCAGTTAGTTTTGTACGCCATTAATATATCCAATAGTATGCCGTATTCCATACCTGGTGATTAATTGACGTGTTTCAATCACAAGCACGCACGAGTATCGGACCTGGGAAGAAAATATAACCTAATTAATAAAAAAAAACCTCTGTGTTCATCTTAAATGTGTCAAAAACCACAAAAGTGAAATATGTGCCCGCCTTAAAAATATACTAAAGTTTTTAGGGGTGCCGGAAACACCACATTCGATTCTACGAGCAAGGGGTTCATTTTCTGGGACGTTGTGAAAACAAAAAAATAAAATTAATTAAACATTAAAAATTTGTTTATCTCTATTTCACGTTTGTATTAAGCTTCCAAATGAGACGGACCCCAAGTCTCTAGCCCTTCCCGTTCATGAAATATCTATCAGAAAAAGAGCGCATACGTGCTATAAATCCCTGGAGGTACGTAAACATGGACTAATACATGTTTGTGTCAGTCGAGTACGGGTCAAAATCACTTATATTTACTAAATAATATTACTAAATACATTAAATGGGATCACTCACAACTGTCAGTAGCATCTGATACACGCGAGATTCGAGACTTCTGCGGATGTCACTAAAAATCTGGAAACAAATTGATCCCTCGGAAGCATTTATCACAACAAAATTACAAGAGAATTGCAGACTCGGTTTAATTGAGTCTGTACATGAGGGATAATGAATACGTGCAACATCCCTCACGCCCCCTAGTACCGGCTTGAGCGGTACTCAACTCTCACCACTTAATAGTGCTTAAAGTCATAATTTAACAAAACTCAGAACATATTAATTGTAATTTATTCATTTAAGAAATGAGCAAGTGTGACATTTATTCTATACAAAGGGCAAAACATATCATTATATTCACGTAGTGAAATATTTATATCAAAATTACATTGATATAACTAATTATCAAACATACACATATATGATACATTCTTGCCATGACCATGAACGACTTTGTTCTAGTTCTTATGCTTTTTCAAAACACTCACATAAAAGTTGACATGTTTTAATATCATCCAATGCAAATAGCTGTACAAGATTGTGCATAATATAGTCTTTAGATTTCTTATATTTTCATACATTTGCACTTTCTGTCACCTTTTACCAGTCTGTTTCGTATATATCTAATCTTTCTCTATTTTAAGACAATAAGCCGATATTCTTAGTTTTGTAAGTAACATGTAAGTAAATGTTTGTTTTCACAATATTCAAATAAGGAGCTTTTAAACAAAATCAGGTTTCCAATATGTGTACAATATAGACAAAAAATTTAACAATTGCCATGATTAAACGTTAATTCTAACACGACTCGCATTTTCCCCTATTGAACATAGAAGAACCGAAACTGTGTATTATTATGCAATATAGAGTCACTGTTTGACGTTCTATATTTAGACATGTGACGTAATTATTATACATGTGACGTAACCACTATAGAATCCGACGCGCTGACAATAAGTACGGAAACAAATCCGGCGCAATTTCGCTTAATAGCAGGTACGGCAGCATTTATTTGTTTATGTCGTGTAAGAATCGAAATAATATATCCAAATCGGTGATTTTATCGCTGGATAACATCACTGTTTGTCGTTCGGATGCGCATCATTATATCACTCGGGCTACGCCCTCGTGATATAATTCCTCGCATCCGAACTCCAAACAGTGATGTTATTGAACGATAAAATCACAGTTTGGGATATATTATTTCTTAAATAATCCTTAACTCCTCCAGATGAGTCGAAATATTTCAAGACAATCAAACTGGAGAAAAATGTACTAATATGTTTTAAGCAAAGTCAAAAGATTCAAGTAATAATTTAGATGTTACGTGCGAATAATAACTAATTTTGCAGAATTTATCACTAGATCTATATCGCTCATTCTCACTAATAAGTAACAATGTATTATTTAACATGTCGCAAGACGTGCCCAAACAAATGTGATGAAATTCAGAAGATTTATATTCATCATATATGAGCACATACTTACCGCAATAAAATCGTTTACGAAGCAAATTCAAAACCGCGATATGTCTCTTTTGACATGCCACTAAACTTATTAAAAGATGCCTACGTGATCTGTCGCAAATGCATTTAACAACTTAGGGGTGCTCTTAAAGAATAACCTGCTCGAATAAAGCATAGGTTCAGACTAGAACATTACCCTGTATGGACTGTCTTACTAAAATAGATACTTATTGTTTCATTTCGGCTTTCATTTAAAAAAAAAAAAATTAATTGTTTGTCTTCAAATATATAATACCTACGTTACACCAACCTAGTTATAACCAAATTTTAACACAAATGTAAAATAAACCAAACATTTTTAATTTCTTTTGTCAGTAAAAAA